ACTTTCTTGATACTTTAACCCATAGGACCTACAAACACACGAAATTGAGTTGTAATACGACATTAACTAAGAAATAATAGCACAAATGCACAAGAATAAGCTAGTTAAGTCGCCTAAATATGCTCCCATCAGTTGTGGAATGAACTTTACTTTTTGACATGCTACAAAACTGGGATGGAACAACTTCTGGTTCAAGTGTTGAATTGCAGAAAATTGTGAATTTTTTTCCGTAATGTGCATGTGGTGTGCATGGTTATTAACGGCAACGAGTATTATGTTTTCCACATACACAGTTAAGCGGTGGTTGATATATGTAACTGTATATGTAATAGTTATGTTTTAATTGTATCACTATACCAATAGGTTGCCATTAAAGTTTCGTATTAATGTGAAAAGTAACTCATTGCATGATCTCCAATTTTGTGAATACCATGTGCACATAGTGTATATCGTGCGTATTTACATATTTGATACTCTTCGTATTAACGTAGTTTAGGATATGGTAGGCATTGAAGATAACAAGGATACATAGTCCTAATATTTATTATCATATAATAGTTAGCAAATACATTGCACAACTATGGATTAACATCTAAGCATTCAAATTAAGTTTACCAGAACTACTAAGCATAACCTTCACTGAATGATCACCGATACCAAATTGTATTAAACGATTCAACCTCCTTCAGTGTCAAAGAATCCTACTGTGGTTCATGGGATTCCTTTCCCTTCACTACCTCACAAAAATCCTCAAACCTCTTGTTGTGTTCCTCCTCCATTTTGACCTTTCCTTCCCGAGAACGCTCATACGACTCAATATGGTCGTGACGCTTCTACCACAATTCAAAATTTAGGGATGGGATCATTTCTCGAGGCGTGTCAACCTTCGTTTTCTGTTTGCTTGTACGGTAGAGCGGTTCGTTGGCTTTACCGTTGAGGTCTACAAGCTCTTTTTCTACCTTCATTAGCTTATGGCTCCAATACAATGTGTTGCCCATCTAATAATCGAGTCTCCCATTGACCTGATCTATTTTTCCAGTGGTGTCTTTGAGTCGACAAAGCTAAGCAATGACGTAGGATTTGCCTATGGTAACCTCGGAAGCGAAGGATGTTCCCTATTGTACCACCCGTGGAACTCTATGCAAGGCCAATCTTGAGTTTTTTTAGGCTCGTGGCGACACCAAAAATGTGCCCTAACTTCATATAAAAAAATTATTTGTTTTTACACTTAAGACTACGATAAAATTATACTTATAAAAGCACTTCAAACTTAATAATTTAGAAATACGGAAAAAATAATTTATTTTATATCAAGAGAATGGAACAAAAAAAGCCCGAGCTTACATGTAACATCCCACATCGCCCAGGGGAGTGGATCCTGTAAGCCTTATATGTATATTCCCATTTCTACCTAGCACCAGGCCTTTTGGGAGTTCACTGGCTTCAGGTTCCATTGGAACTCCTAAGTTAAGCTAGTTCGCACGAGAGCATTCCCAAGATGGGTGACCCATTGGGAAGTTCTCGTGTAAGTTCCTAGAAACAAAACCGTGAGGGTGTGGTCGAGGCCCAAAGTGAACAATATTGTGCTACGGTAGAGTCAATCTCGGGATGTGGTGGGGCCTGAGCCGGGATGTGACAATTTGGTATCAGAGCCAATCCTTGGCCGGAAGTATGCCGACGAGGACGTCTAGCCCCAAGGGGGGTGGATTGTAACATCCCACATCGCCCAGGGGAGTGGATCCTATAAGCCTTATATGTATATTCCCATCTCTACCTAGCACGAGGCCTTTTGGGAACTCACTGGCTTCGAGCTCCATAGGAACTCCAAAGTTAAGCAAGTTCGTGCGAGAGTATTCCCAAGATAGGTGACCTATTAGGAAGTTCTCGTGTGAGTTCCCAGAAACAAAAACGTAAGGGCATGGTCGGGGCCCAAAGTGGATAATATCGTGCTATGGTGGAGTCGAGCCCGGAATATGGTGGGGGTCCAGGCCGGGAAATGACAATTTGGTATCAGAGTCAATCCTTGGCCGGAAGTCTGCCGACGAGGACGTCGAACCCCTAAGGGGGTGGATTGTAACATCCCACATCACCCAGGGGAATGGATCTTGTAAGCCTTATATGTATATTCCCATCTCTACCTAGCACGAGGCCTTTTGGGAACTCACTGGCTTTGGGTTCCATAGGAACTCTGAAGTTAAGCAAGTTCATGCGAGAGCAATCCCATGATGGGTGACACACTGGGAAGTTCTCATGTGAGTTCCCAGAAACAAAATTGTGAGGGCATGGCCAGGGCCCAAAACAGACAATATCGTGCTATGATGGAGTTGAGCCCGGGATGTGGTGGGGGCCCGAGCCGGGATATGACATTACAAGTAGATAGATGATTAGTTTTGTTTTCCTTCTAGCTAAACTTTTAAAGTGTTTTTATATAATTCGTGACGTGTTTTTTCTTATATACTAACCTTGTCAATGTGGGAGTAAAAAAATAATGATGTTTTCTAGTCTTTAATTGATATGTACAAGTAATGAATGAACATTAAATTAAACTTAATGGTGACACGCCATATGATTTGTAAATTTGGTCTAAAAATTGTGTCTACACATTACTCTTTGTTGAAGGTTAGACTTGAATTGGAACAAATGTTTAAAAACTGCAACCCACATAGCTACTAGCTAGTAACTAAAAAGAAATTAACAACCAAATAGAAATTTGTAAAAATGAAAAGAATAAACATGCATACAGCATTTCGAACTTAGGATCTCTCGTTAATTTTAAATAACAAAAGCCATTGCTTTTGATTAAACCTCTTGATCATTTAATCAAATTTTATAACTTTGAACTCTTATGAAAATAAATTCATAAAAGTTAGAAAGTAAAAGCAAACACATAGTGTTTCAAAGCAAGCCCTCCTTGATAATTTTAAACAACTAAACCACCACTTATGGTCAAACTTTTTAATCACTTGGCCAAATTTTATAATTTATAGTCTTATTAACAAAAATTAGTAAAAATTGAAAAGTAAATAAACATACATGGTGTTTTGAACCCAAAACCTCCTCATTAATTTCAAACAACAAAAGCCACTAGCTCTACTTAAAATTCTTTGTTATTCAATGAACTTGCAAAAATTTATACTGTTATGAAAATATATATGAATATATCACCCTAATAATTTGGTACACTCAATTTTTTTGGGCCCCGGACGGTCGCCCAACCCATACTAGGCCTGGACCAACCTTGAACTCGACGTTAAAACTCTCAATTTCATGTCTAAACTTGGACATGTTGGTGTTGTGAATTATTTTGGCTATCTGAGAATTAGAATGGCTTTTTTGGTATCGCGATAATAGTTATGGCAAATAAGTGTGAGAAGTCTATTTATACAAATGTATCATTGATGTGGATGATAACCCATTGGGTGTAAGAGGGATTGTGTTGAAAGTGTTTGTGTGATGAGAATTTGTTGCATGTGACCGACAAAAGTTGTAGGAATCCTAGCACTCCTTTTTTGTCCCTCCTACTACTTGATTTCCAACATACAGGTTAAAGTGTTTTCAAATCTCACACCCCCACCTCATTTCCAACATATAGCTATCAACTCCTACTACCTCATTTCCAACATAAAATACAATAATATAGGTTAGGGATATTGATCAGTGGAGGAGCCACATGGATGGGAAGGTTGGTCCAGGCTTATTCTACAATTTTTGTAATATTTATCAATTGTGTGCAACCATAAACAATATTAAGCATCATGTGAGTTAGTGAGTATAGTTTGGTAGTTTGAATAAGGCATGGGTTTGCAACTTGATTGTTTTTACATCTTTTTTTTTGTTTTTTTTTCCTAAACCCAACCTTATGCTTTACCATATAAAATTCAATTCCCTTTTGGTTCTATACAATTTAGAAGAAGATCTAATGGATCCCTAGATCTAATTATGTTCAAAGAAAATGTCATAGTTATATAGTTTTGAGTCATGACTTTACTTTTTTATTCTAATTTAATGCAATAATTTTTTTTATTAAAGCTTGTAAACAAGTTTTGTTCTTATGATATAATAGACTCAATACTAATTCTTCATATATACTTTAAAACTCCATCTCTCCTATTTGAGTAAAATTGACCATCGTAATGTGTCTTACAAATCCCATAAGCAGTTCCCTAGTCAAGGAGTTTTTACATATCATGTGCATATAGTGTGCATAACATGTGCAAAATAGTGTCCATATATTGTGTATACAATGTGCATATCATGTACATATAATTCATGTATTTGTGTTCAAATATGATTATGATAACATGGTTTTGTATGTATAACTAACATGGATTTGTATATATACTTAATAATTGACCATTATTCTAGAATTACTAACCTTATCAATCATGTATTTGTATTGGAATACGATAATAAAAACATGGTTTTCACAATATGTGTAACCATGTCTGAAGGTACATCGTAACTTTGGTGTACTAATATACTTATTATTGTAGTGAAATAGATTAATTAATTAGTAAAGAAAAATAAAACTTTTTATTTTATAAATTAATTAATTAATTGTAAAGAATACAATTGTTGGGTATTTGCAAGGACGAAGCCAGAGATTTCTATGAATAAGGGCATCTTCAAGCAACAAAGTCATAATTAAAAAGCTCAAGAATTTACTAAACACAATACTTATATATTAATCCAGAAAAGTTTTTCATACAACATTCCCTTACAATATCCCTCGACGCGTTTTTATGTTCTGAAAGCGTTGCATGACAACATCATTACCAATACCATCAAATCTCTCTCTCTCTATAAAAATAACCATGTTATCATTCATCTATTGATCTCTCATCTGATTTCTCAATTGATTCTCCAGAAATTTCATGGCCGAAAATGTTTTTTCAACAGTTGCAGTAGCAATTGGAAGAGTTAGTACTAATGTCACAAGCAAGTAAAGCATCTAATACACCTTGTGTTTTTTGCATTGAACCAATTTTTTTTTTTTTTTTTTAATTTGCAAGATCTCCAATCTCTTTTAAACCTAAGAACTCAATGCTAGACCGCATATTCACAATGTAAGTCTCAAGTTGAATATTAAGTATCACCAGTTCATTCATAGAGAAGTCCTTAGGATAAAACTGGGCAAGTCGCAATAGCTTTTGGCTATCAAAAGCAGAGAAGGAGCCGGCTGGACATAAACATGCCAAACAAAGAAGTAACTCAGTGTTGGTCTCATTGAAACGATTATTTAGTTCTTGAAGCAGCGAATCCAAAACAACATAAAATATCTCATCACAATAATGATGCATATTTGTGACTGCTTGTGCTTTTCGTTGCCCTCGCCTTTGGGAAAGAAACATATCATCCATATTAGGCACATCAATATCATGTTTAAGATGAAATTCAGAGACTTCACCAAGTAATGAACCCCAACCACTTTTCCTCATCATCTCCAACCTTTGCTTACAAACTCCAACCAACTTCATGGCATTTACAATATCCTGATCCTTCATTTGCAATGCTTGTGGCAATTCATTGGTTATTCTTAGTATATCTTTCATCAAGTGTAGATTAAGCACAAAATCAAACGATTGCATGGAATCCAATAAATTATTCGCTTCACATCTTTATTGAGAGCTTACTCCATCATCTGCTATTACTTTAAGTACATCAAGTATGGATGAGAACATAGTCATTATAGTTACTAAAGTACCAAAGTGTGAACCCCAATGTTTTTCTCCATCACATTTCAAAGTAGTTTCTTGATTTTTGCCTTTCCCACTTGTAAACTCACCATTGTTTAATGCTTCAATAATTGCAATAGATTGCTTCTCTCAAAGAAGATCACAACACTTCGATGAAGCTCCAACAACATTTACCAAAATAGTAACTATAATAAAAAGAGACTCAATTTGGATGTTCTTCTTTGCCACAGCTACAAGAGCTAATTGAAGTTGATGTGCAAAGCAATGAATATAATAGGCACAACCATTTTCTTTCATAATAAGAGCTTTAAGACCATTGAACTCACCTTGCATATTGCTGGCCCCATCGTAACCTTGCCCACACAACCTAGACATGCTCAATTTATGCCTAGAAAATACCTCATCAATGGTTTCCTTGAGTGAGAAAGCAGCGGTACTAATAACATGCTCAATGCTAATAAAACACTCGAGGACATGCCCATTCTTGTCCACATAACTCAATACAATAGCCATTTATTCCTTTGTTGATACGTCGCAAGATTCATCAATCAAAATAGAGAACAACAAAGTGCCAATGTCTTTAATAATAGCCTTGATGGTCTCAGTTGCACAAGCATTTACAATGTCTTTTTGAATATCTAGTGATGTCAATTTGTAATTCTCTGGAGCATTTTTCAAAGTAACGGCTTTCACATCCTCATTGTGGTCAACAAGAAATTGTAGAAGCTCAAGAAAGTTTCCATGGTTGCTGGAATGTTCAGATTCATCATTACCATGAAATGCAAGCCCTTGTCTCAAAAGAAATCAACAACAATCGATTGATGCATTCAACCAAGCTCTATATTGAATTTGAGCTTCATCATGAATTTTAGAGAAAAAAGATTGGATATGTTGCTTTTGACTTCTTAAAGATTCAAAATTACTTTGATTGTATGCACTATTGACGCCTCCAGTATGAATTAGAAGTCTTTCTTTCTTCTTCCAATTAGAAAATCCTTCACTAACAAAGAAATCACCACCTGCTTGTTCTCCAATGTTTGGTTTAAAAAGGTAGCAACACAGACAAAAGGCAACATCTTTTTCTACAGTATATTCCAACCAAGTAGGAAAATCATCAAACTAAGCAAGGTTGAATCGTCTTCATGTGTCTCCATATTTCTTGTAAGGAAAATTATGGGTTTTAGGTTGTTGAGGACCAGCTAGCACATACGCTCTTTGTACTTGATCTCGAATATTAGGATTGTAATCCAAAATTCGAATTCACTTACCAGGATCTAATTGAAGATTTGATAAAATAAATGTTGTACTATCTTGTTCCCGAGTATCATTATTTTTTCAATAACTGGGGATGGCGACGTTGTATTTTTTTGAAAAAGCCCTCCATGATGTTGCTGTTTACAAAGTCAATCATATTGATAACAATAAGATATAAGGTTCATATGTAATTTGTAGAATTTATAGAATAAAAATCTCAAAATTAGAAAGCTAAATTTTAAATTGTAATGCCAAAAACGAATAATAAAGTAATATCATATCATAAAATACCTTGTGCAGTTGTGTAAGACAAATCCAACCAATAAAATTCTTAGACTCTTAATCCTAGAGTAGACTATACTAATATGCCTAATAACTAATCCAACCAACAATTCAATTAACCAATACCAATAAGCATTCAAATTATTCAACAAATATAAATTTAATTCAATTCGTCATATGAATAAATGTATACCCATATTCATAGAATTCATAATTTCATTCATCAATAATCATAGAATTCATATACGAAACAATAATTTCATAATTTTTACCCTAAACAATAATTTCATTCATCAATAATCATAGAATTCATATCAATAACCAATAACCATATTAGTGCATTACCATATGATTCTATACCAATTAAACAAAAAAATGTCTTAAATAATTAATTAGGGATAGGGATTATAGATTTAGGAATTAAAAAATTTACCTAATATATATATGCCGGCTAGAGAGTGGCTGCACTGGACTGGCTGGGAACAACACCTTTGCTCCTGTTCCATTCCGTTTCAAGCTACTGGGAATTTGGGGGCAGAGCAACACCACGCTGCTCTCTGATTAGCAAAGGCAAAAAAAAAAAAAAAAGGAACAGAGATAGAATTGGTGGCGCGGGGGGGGGGGGGGGGGGGGGGACTACATACTTTTTCTTTTTTTTTTTGAAACATATACGAAACGATGCCATTTCGTTTACTTTTTTTTTTTTTTTACCAGGACCAAAACGATGTCGTTTTGGCTTGGATTTAAAAAGATATAAAATATGACCCAACTCTGCGTAGCAGAACCATATCAATTTGATTAGAAAAGACAATTTTTTAAAGTTATTTAACTAGTGTTACTCATAGGGAATTGGAATGCATACAGTTTTTTAAAAATTTAAAAAATTCTCAATGGGGGCATCCTACCCCCCCCCCCCCCCCCCCCCCCGCCCTAAGCCCACTGTAGCTCTGCCATTGGGTATTTGAACGGAAAAAGATGTACTTCACCAAAAAAGATTCATGTCAAAACCGTTCCTTTCCAATTGCTTGATTTTATTGCAAATCGTCATGTCTCATCCCCTTATTGTCCAAAAGATACAAACCATCTATTTAAGTTGTCTTCTTAAGGGTTTGTGTTTTATTTGAAAACCACAATTTCTTGAAACCAAACCACCTCTATGCCTACACAAAGTCAAAATCCCAGGTTCTTCAACCCAAAAGGCACAAGTTCTTGTCCAAAAGATGAAGAAAGCCAAAACCACCTCAATGCCCATACAATATCTTCCCAACGAACTTCTTCTCCAAAAACTTACAAAGGTTACTTCCTAGTCTTTTAAATACCTGTTTTTAGCAAATATGTTGTGCAAGAAGTTCAACGAAGTCGGCTAAGACGACTGCATATTTGAATACATCAACATTAGGGAATTTGAAGGTTTCAACCCCCTTACTTCATGGACCAATAAGGAAGATGTCTCCCAGTTCTTGAAACGGTGCAAGGAGCGTGACAATTCCAACACCTTGTACATGCTAGGGATAACATACTTCTTCCAAGACAATATGAAAGAAGCCAGAATTGAGGGTATAAAGATGACGATCTCAAATGGTCATGAAGTAGCAACGTACGTCTACAATGTCATCTTGGTGTACTACGGGGGGATTCAAAGCATGAATGCCTTAAGCTTCTATATTCTCTCAATCCTCCCAAACCAGGACAGTTGAGTGTAATGTAATATCGAGAGATAGTTCTCTGGTCTTTGTCGAGTCTTTGGGTGGACAGGGAAGTGATAAGTGACATTCTACAATTTCATGATCACAATGCTACCATGCAAGCATGCAGCAATTGTGGAAGTCCACAAGGTCCTTTCACAATCCGGTAGCATTGGGATTTCTTTGACCATGAAAATTTCAACAACTGTAATTCCTACAAATGGCATCAAGAAGTTAATATTTTTTGTGATAAATTGTGTTAAAGATAGGTAGACTTTATTTTGGTTTCATTTTGTTGTAATAGTTGCGTTTAAATTGCAACACAAAGTTTTCATTTCCTCAACTTTTCTAATGTACTAATTTACTTCCTAATTATATGGCCTTTCTATTTTTCATTTGTTGACAAAAACCATCAAGAACCCTACAAAAAGAAGTCGTCATTGCAAAAAACCATCAATTTATGATAGTAATAGATGACACTCAATGTGTCATCATTACCATGCAAGTTTCGAAATCGAATCTCATCCACTTATTAAGACCCAATATCTACCTTGTCTTATCACTAACCCTATAATCTACCTTGTCTTATCACTAAGTCTCTATGGAGTCATTTTGGCACCAAGTGTTTAAGAGATTCCCTAGGTGGAAATTGTGGAGAAATTGTATGTATCATGTGTATATGTTGTGCATACAACGTGTATCACATGAATGACGTGCATATAATGTGCATGTCAAATTTTGGTAAACCCAATGGTAGGGTTTAGGGGGCAATCCTGACTAATGGTGTGCTTGCATGGTTTGGTTTTTAAAATTATTTCTTTTGGTTATTGTGCCACTTTGTGGTCATGATGAGCCACTCTTATTTTTATTTTGTTAAAATTAAACCCTATTTATATGACAAGACTAAGAATTTGAAAGGCCTAATTTCACATATACGTACGTACTCCAATATGAACCCCTAGTTTCTTGATAATTATTTAATTACAAATTTATGGACAAAATGTACATATTATGAGCATGCCTTTTGTATGACGGACATATAATATGCATATTGTGTGCATGTATGTGTATATAGTAATTTGAAAAGGGACTTTTGGGACATGTTTATGTCATGCACAAGACCTGCACAACATCTGCACTTATCTTGTCAAGGAATCAAAAAAGTACAAATGGATGAGTGTGATAGGTTTGGTGGTTGGGTTGGTTTCTCTAGGGTTGTGCTAATTATGAAAAGAGGGTTATTGGTTTCTCTAAGGAATAAAAAAAAGTAAAAATAATAGTCAACGTCTATACACAATATGCACTTGTCTTGCTTGGGTGAATTTTAATTAATTCATTTGGTTATTGTGCATGGATGACATTTGTATTACATGAGAGGTGGTGTATTTATTCATGATTCTCAAAGCACAAAACACCTCATCGAGTTGTAGAACGATGAAGAGAGGGACAAGTATGAAGAAAACCAAAGCGATTGATCAAGGCACAACAACCCCAAGTTTCATAGAAGCACTTCCGGATGAGCTTCTTCAAGAACTATTGACGAAGGTAGCTTCCCGGTCATTTCATGACCTCAGTTTAGCCAAAATGGTGTGCAAGAAGTTTAATCATATGGGGCAACACAATCGCATCTTCGAAGAAATCAATATTTGGACATTTGAAAGGGTAAACCCGCTAAGTTCATAGAGCATAAATGAATAACTATCCAGGTTCTTCAAATGGTGCAAGAAGTGCAACAATTTCGAGGCACTCTACACCTAAGCCATGGAATGCTACTTCCAAAAATAAAATCCTAAACTTGGAATTGAGTATTTTCAAATGCCGACCTCCAAGGGTCATCAACCATCGACATATGTCTACGATGTGTTCATGGTTTGCCAAGGGGGGATGAAAAACCGAAAGGGCTTGAGCTTTTGCATTCTCTGAACTGTCAGAAATTGGTGACGGTAAATGCAATGTAGGGAAAGAGCTCGTCGATCTTTACACTTAATTTGGATGGACAGGGATGTTAGAGAAAGAGTAATAAAACTGCACAAGGACAATGATGCCGTCAAACCATGCACCGACTGTAGAAGTGCATAGGGTCTATTCACACTCCAATCCCATTGGGATTACTGCCACCACGACAAATTCAATACCTGCAATTCGTACAGATGGCACCAGGAAATGAACACTTTCTTGAGATATGTTAAATGGTTCTAATAGGGACTAAATTTTCTTGATTTCCTTTACTTTTCTTCAAATTAAGTTCTAATGTACTTTTTTGTTAATGAATGGAAAAGGGACAAGTTTTTG